TGTACTTTTCACGTTTCACAGTTTTTCAATTATATTACAACTCTTATTTGTAATTGGATTCAAGGTTCTTAAATTCCATGGTGTCGTGTGCGTAATAATGGGCGAAAAGCGATTATCATGCTCGTACACGATTACTTACGGGTAACTGTGATATTCAATTGTTATCAGACAATTTTTAATTTATTTTCGAGTTGTGATTAGATGCCGATTTTTAAAAAATACATATAAATTGAATGTACTGACGAGGGTGAAACATTAAACAAACTGAAAATATTAAAAGCAATTTTGGTACGAGGATGTGAAATTATTATTTATATATAAAGGACCTGCAAGCTATAAACCATTTCAAAAACAAGGTTGTAGAAAAAAATTTTGAAGAATTAAAAAAAAAAATTCATGTTAATTTTAATGTCAACCCACGGTAACAAGGTAAAATATATTATTTAAAACTACAATTTACTTGTAAGAACAAATTGCCAATACTTTAAAAATATGAAATGCTATTTTTTTTAAATCGATTTAGTTATTATTTATTAATTAAAACATGTATATAGAATTGTTTAACGGTCTGTATAAGAGTAGGTAAAAGTATTAGCAAATTTCTCTTTCAGTAATAAATGAGTAAATTAGACTCTCCAAATTTTCTATTTCCTAGTATTATATTCAGAAAAAATAGATGATGATTGACCATCTCTACCATACTCAGAGGTTTGCTATTCTAGTAGCTTCCTCGTCCCTTTTATGCTTGAGGGTTTCAAAAATAAAATTAGGTTCTAGGTTCTTCTCTTTCAATTCTGAGCAGTATAATCGACTCGGGTGTAACAAAAACTATACAAAAAAGCATAGAAATCTTGTAAGAATGGAGGATTGTATACTTTTTTGTGTGTTTCCATGCGACCTCTTTTCACACTTTTCAATTATTTTAGTGTCATATGAAATTGGTATCAAGGTTAAATTGCATTGGTTTGTGAATGAAATAATGTCCCAAATGCGATTATCATGCTCGGCGTTAATGGTTTATTTACGGTCAACCCTACAACGGCGATATTCAATTATTTCTAACTTTCAGCTGTTCAAAATTGAAAATCGGTCGTGATCACGGTCGCGTAAACTGTGCTGAAGTGACGTTTCGAATTGAAAATAATTAACGCGTATGAAAGCCGTAAATAATTTGTGAGACTTTTCGTCAAAGAGCGGTTTTGTTTTTCAATAAAGTCCGTGTATCTGAGACAAAAAGATAGATTCCTTATCGAAAATGCTGTGGGAATGCGACGATGGGTCTAATCCGCGAGCAAATTAGCCGCTTTCAGCACTCACGCTTTGCCATTTAACAGTGAGACTGACGTTTGGTAAAAGTCAGCCTTGTTCTTTTCTAATGGGAGGACGATTTACATCAAACCTCTTTCCATATTGGCGCGGGAATCTAGACACAAAACCGCTTTCTTCTCCGAATCGGAACTAATTGCCCGGCAGTAATTGAAGTCATTCCACGCATTCTTTTAACAAATTGACTTTTCAAAAGTATTTGTGCATAAAGATCTTGGGGAAATCATTTTACCATTTGACACTAGTACTTCTCCACTGCTGTTAATCATAATTTTGGTGAGGTATTGAAATAAGAAACTGGGTTCATAATGCATGGGAATAGATGCTAATTTTAAGAAATCAGAGAAAAGAAGGCAGTCATTCTGGTTAGAAAATTTAGGAGCAAACTCACGTTTTTTTGGAGTCACAAAATTCGATGAACCAAATTAGCTAAGTTGCCAACGAAACGGTTAGGGAACAGGAAAAATTAGTTCCTTAATTTCTTTTAAAAGTTAATTAAGTCGAAATCTAACCATCCCCTGTACTAGGGGATGAAATGCATAAATGGAACTAGCAAGGTAATATTTGTTTATCCCGAGAACATAGGTTCGAGAGGAAGTGGTGTCCAAACCGGAATGTATATTCTCCAAAACTTTCACTACAAATTTCTTGAAGATTATAGTGGTATGCTTAAGGGGGTAGCAACTGTTTTTCAGACGAATTGCTCGTTTCTCTATTTTTATGTTTAACTTGACTTCTACTCGGTGGATAATAGTTTTGATACGCATTTCTTTTACAGAAGAGTACTTACTTTCTGTGTCAAACCATTTTAACGCATTTCAGCCCTATTTCGGGTCATTTATTTTTGAAGCAAGAAAATTGTAATTTTTCTATACCATTTTCTGAAAATATATCTATTTCTGACATTTTTTCTTAAACTACTTCGAATTTGCAGCAAGGGGATTTTAATAATAATAAATCGTAAATTTTTCGTACAATGTAAAGGTGTGACAAACAATTAACGTTTTTTTATTCAAAAAATTTATTTGTCTGCTCATTGTGTTCTTTAAAAAAATTGCGATTGTTTGCCTATTATATTCTACAAAATTTAAACAAAATCGTTGGTGGAACTTTTTTGAAGGATAATAGTCTCGGCACAGAATATATATGAAAGTCCTTAAACAACACAGATGTGGCAAGGTACACCAGAGAATTTAATTCACAACATTATATTAAACCCTTCCAGAATATCGTGGGAGTTTTATTCTTAATTTAATATTAAAAAGTTTTAATTTAATATTAAAAAATGATGGTGATGATGATGGCGTTTTTCAGCCCGAAAATTTGTTACAACCCCCTTAACTCAGTATATTTTATGTAAACATTTTATTGATGTTCATGTTTCGTATCTCCCCTTTGAGCAGTTTCATATATGTTGGAATAAAGTAAAAAGCAAAATGATATTTTAGTCAAATTTCAAATTTTATTTCATGGTATTGTATTTTATTTCAAGTTTTTTTCAAGTATTTTACGTATTTTACATCTACCCTAAAGGCTTACGATTGTCATTATGATTCCTAGTAATGAATATCAATCGATACTTTTTAAAAAAAATCAGAGGTGATGAAAATTAGAAAAAGACCTATTTTCGATCTGGTGCTAAGCTCACTGAAAACCATAGGAATCAAAATTTTGCATATGTTCATATTAATTTTTTCTCTGTAATGTGAATACATGGAGCTCCATTTCATCTTAAAAAACTTTTATACATATTTCTCCTTATTGTTTTTTAGCCAATTTTTCAATTTGATCAATATTTTATTTAGTAACACTGTAGAAAACACATTGATTTTTACATTCCAAAGACGTGACTTTCTCTATCTAAACCTAATTTCAGATAATTCATTTATTGTTACTGTAATTCTTAGTGCCATTGGAAATCATAAAATTTACCATTACTGGTCTTTAGTGTGCCTAGTTTCGAGATTATAACAAGCATGCATCATTCTTCCCATTACTTTGATCGGTTTACTGGGGGTTGGTTATGTTAACATACACATACCGGTGGTAAATAATGAAAATGGAAATGAACGAAACTACTGAATAAGAAAAAATTTTGAGAAAAATCCTTCTTCTGAAATTAGCCTATAATTCGTAATTTTAACACAAAATTGAATTGAATTTTACTACAAAACGTTTAAATTGAAGTAAAAATTTAAATTAGGTTGAAGTCGAATAGTCTTTTCTCTTTTTTTCTCACCTCTGTTTTAATTTATTTTATATTGCTGCCAGATGATTCTAACAAAAGTAGAGAGTGAATGTAATAATTGGAGTGAGTGAGCAGAATGGTTATGCACGATCATTCATCACGAATAACAGGAGCTCATGGTGATATACGATAAATGCTCTGTCACCGCTGACAGTTTGGCACTGAGGGAAACCGGGGGGAAAATAATTAAGTGATAAGTTTAATTAATTGTAAAGTAAGTACTTCGGTTTTTAGTCTTGTTCGTAATGCAGGTGTACAGTAAGGAAGAAAACTACAGACGCAAGTTGAAAATTAATAATGACTAATTTTTTATATCACTCACGTTCACGGATTTCATTAAAACTGGCAGATTAAACTCAAAAAGTTTCATTTTTGACAACAATTATTCAAAATCGGACGAAAATATTTATAAAAAAAGTGTTAAATTGAAGATATATATTTCCATTTTTTCTAGCAATTAAAAATTATTACATACTGTTATTAATTGAATACTAATCTACTAAATACGATTTCCAAATATGAAAATAACTAATATAATAAATAATTGAATAATATTAATTGGTCAACCGGACCACGAAAACTAATGAATTGAATATGAAAATAACGTCCAATTGAAAAAATATATTTTTTTGTACATTTATTTTTCAATCCAAAGGGGATCCCGCTACTCTATGGAAAGAATCCCTTAGACAAAAAAATGGTTAAATTTGCAATATTTGACTTTTTTCTATTGGTTTATCAACCTTATTCTACTTTCTCCACATTTTAAACCATTGATTAATTTTTAATTTTTTAACTAGAATTGGAATTTTAAATCTTTTCAGAAAATTTTTAAGAAGAAAAGATCTTCAAATAATTCAGCTTAAGATTTTAAGTTAATGTAGCCTTTAATAGACTAATTTGAAAACTTTTTATCTTTTAATCCTATCTTGTATAGATTTTTGATCTGTTTATAATCATGAATTTAGCGTAAATTTTTACAAAAAGGTGAATTTTATTAATTGTATTTTTACTAGCTAGTATTAGTTAATTTTCTATCTGGAAGAGCAAATATTTTCTCTGTCAACATTTTATTTGTATAATTATAGTGTAGTAATACGAAACTTTTTGATGATTAATGATGTTGAAAGAAAATTTTAAGAATTTATATATTTTTATTAAGCGAGAACTTTGAGATTAGCTTAAAATTAACTGACTTATTTGTAAAATTAAATATGTTCAGATGTGCAATTAATTTTGTATTTGTTGATTAATTTTTTTTTTGAAAAATTGTAGAAAATTTTTTTACTTTTGATGAAGTTTTGATCAATCTTTATAAATTCGTAAAAAATTGCTTTTTAGTTAATGTATTGATACTACTATTTTATTAGATTTTTTTTTAAATTTGCAATTTTAGAAATATTATTTTAAATAATATTTGACGTACCTTCTATCCCGGGTCCGCTTGTTCGTTCCTCCCTTGATAGTTCTGTATAATGACATCATCTTGATATCGGTAAATTATTTTTCCAAAAAAATATAAAATCAGACGATAAAAAAACCACCACTACAAAAAAAAAATCAAAAACACTACAGAAAATACTTTAAACGGCCGGTTTTTTCTGTAATCCGCGATTAGTCACAAATCTTGTCAGACACACTCAACACTGGCAAAAACGGTCCGACACTCCATATGGCGTGGTTGCGGTGTCAGAAGGTGAATCCGTCCGTAAGTATCTCTGAAGTCGGCCACTGTTGGACTGACAGGGCACTTATCGCCGGCTCGGGTCCGCGCAGCCCCTTCCATGCCACTTTCAACCACTCTTCCTTTCAACGTTCCTCCCGGCCCATTCATTCATACCGTCTCCTGTCCGTTTGGAATTGCAATTTCCAGCGACATGAACCTACGAGAGATTCCGTCCTAAAGACCGAATAATATTTGAATGACAAAAGTATTGTATTCGAGCACTGAACAATTATCCCAAAATACGCCGACTGGTGTTTTGCCACTTTATGAATCAAGAAGTACATGATATAACTACTACTACTAAATGTCTTTATTCTTTAATATGTAATTAAGTTTATAATTCGGAAATGTGTATTACAAAACAAGAAAGGGAGGATAAACATCTGAGGGAGTCTTAAATAACTAAAAATTTTCTTCTGAGCATTTCAAAGTATTTATAATTAATATTTGCAAATGAATATTAACTTTCTTCAAAAATTGTATCATAAATTTCAGTAATATACAGAACATAATTGAATGATAACAGTAGAAATATAACTAGCAAAATGTACATCACTTATTTATGATTACCTTTCAATTAATTAAGGTTTTTAGTTGAGATAAAAAAGTCAGTGTTACGAGCGGGATTCGAACCTACGACCTTCGGCTGTTCTACCACTTGAGCTATCGTGACTTCGATCCACTCGGACACTAACTTCCCATCTTAACCCCACCTTTTGAATTTTCCCTCCTTTTTGCCATTTTTCAATCCCGCTCGTGACACTGACTTTTTTATCTCAACTAAAAACCTTAATTAATTGAAAAATATTAATTGGTCAAGCGGACCACGAAAACTAGTGAATTTATGATAACCTGTAATTCACATAACTCAATAAATAATAATAATAACAAAGTGGGAAGCTTATGGGCCAACAAACATCATCAGGTCATCGCCCTCTGCGTGTTTTCCTTCTTTTTTCTCTTCTTTCGCACGTATTTTGATTTACACTGCAGCCATTTGAGCATCTCAATCTGGTTTCCGTCTCTCTGCTTTTAAATGTGTTCCATGTTGATATCCTAAAATGCCTCTCGTTTTTACCTATGGTTGTCAAGTACAGAATAGGAAAAAAACATACAATACATACAAATATATATTGTATATATATGTATACTACAAACATAGATGTCTGGTCACATTCGCTACCCCAGAGTACTCGATATTCTTCGAGGCGGGGTTGAACCCTCTCCATTCTCCATAATAACTTACTTCTACTGTCCTGTTATACTACTCAATCAAGGCGTTGACACAGCGCTCACCACTGTAAGGTAAAGGTCCGGGGTTCGAATCCAGCGGCCCTGCGTTTGAACCCGACATACTTACAAATGGGCTTTTATTCAAAAACACCGGCACCCTGAACGTTTATATGACCTCTGCTGTTGCACCCTCGTAAAAATATACAAATATAAAAAAATTAATTAATTAACACAAACACAACACTCGATAGAAATATAGTCTGGTCACATTCACCCCCAGAGTACTAGATATTCCTCGGGGCGAGTCAATCAATAAAATAAAGCGAAATTAAGTAAATGGAAATAATAAAAGTAAAAGTAAATAATAATATAGTACATTACATATTAAAGAGATAATATTATATTAAATGTTTACAATAACTATGAGGAGATGGGCCAAAAAAGAAAGGTGGCCAAGAAATGATAATAGTGGAACAAAGGTGGCCAATAACAATGGATACATTGCTACGTTCATATACGAAATATTTAAGTCGAAGATGAGCTTTTCATCTACTCAGAGGAATCCGCAAAGAGAAGGTCCAACCTCATCAAGTGCCTCTGATTTTGGCTTTAAGAAAATATGCCTGTTTAGAGAAATTGTCCAACACTGTCCAATCCTTGCCATTAATAAAACCTTATCTACAAAATATTGTTTCGTTACAGCAGCCATTTTCGAGCGGGCGCCTAGAACTGGACCAAATCCTGTCACCCTATACCACTACAAGGTTCACAGTTAATGCCCAACTCTTTGAAGTATTTGTAATTTAAGTTAAAGAGATCCTCTCGGCATTTAATTATCCACTGCATGCTATCAAAGGGTAACGAAATGCCCGAACGAAATAATAATTTGAGAATTTGAATAGGAGCTTTCTATTTAGTGGGAAGTGTCAGAATTTGCTATATCTGGGCAATGTTGTCTCTTTATAGTGTCACAAATGAACCGTCTAACTTAGCCTCAAACCCCACCACAGTTCAACTCTGCCGATTTTGTTCCGGTTTAAAGACATGTCCAGTTAAGCTGCATGATATGCCGCTTTATTTCCTTAAACCAATGCATTTTTTTATCTATAATCTGCCCGGCAAGAATCTTCGGGAGTCTATTATCGGGTAAGAGCATTATATAATTAAATCAGCTACATTTTTTGCTCAAAACTTTATTTAAAAGAGTTCACTTTATTTGGGAAATAATAACTAAACAAGTAAGGCAATTAGACATGACTTTCCGACGGCGTGTTTAATTTAAGACAAATTAAGTCAAATAAGTTGACTGATTCGACGTTATTAAAAGTACTAGGTACTTAGCATGATCATCTCTAATACTTCTCTTATTATCAAAAAAGGAAGTGACAATTTAATTAAAGATTAATAAGATGTAGATGTATTAGTCGGGGTGAAATATACTGCGCCTTTTAAGACCTATTGTATTCCCAGTTCTGTGCCTGTAGCACATCGGTGAGTCCTATTTCATCAAGGAACTTGATTAGTAGGCCCGGTTTCAGTGGTTTCAAATTCAGCGGGCAAGTGTAGCACTACTGTTTGTTAATAGGTGTGTTGGTGTCCCCTCTGCCTCTTTCGGCATGTGCCTTTTGGATTATTCGAATCTTCTTTAAATGTTCATTTAGTTTGCAGTGTCCTGTTAGCAATCCTCTTAGGATTCGCAGTTTTTTCCTGCTTCCTTTGATACATTCTATCACTTCTTTCCTTCCGAAATTTGCTAAGAGGTTCTTGGATTGTTTGGGTCCAATTAGTGAATTCCGTTGTTCCCTCAATTTATTTTATCCTTCTGTCTGATAATATGTTTAATTTGGTTTTTCAGTTCAACACCATCTTTGAACTAAAGATGTTTGAGCTTAGAGCTCGGATGGCTGCTTGGCTCTTTGACGTGATAGCTATGTTCTTGTTTTTGTGCCCTTTAGTGAAGTTGAAATGAGTACAACTCTCGACTGCGTGGACCTCACCTTGGAAGATACCGGTTTATTTTCCCATGGGTTCTGTGTATTTGGTTGCAGGACCGAATACTCCTACCCCTGTACCTTCTTGTGATCTAAATCCATCTGAGTTATTAAACTTTTGAAAAATATTTTCATGTTGAGAAACCATTTGTATATTTGTAATTTATAATTTTATTGAGGAGCAGACAAAAGAAAACCTGAAATGCAAGCAGATGATATATTCAACGTACAAATACACAATAGCTATGTTCACTAATTTTGTGGTCCGCTTGACCAATTAATAGATTACAATTAATTAAGGTTTTTTAGTTGAGATAAAAAAAAGTCAATGGCACGAGCGGGATTCGAACCCACGATCTTCGGCTAGATACGGCGCTGCTCTACCACTTGAGCTATCGTGACCTCGATCCACTCGAACATCAACTTCTCATCTCAACCCCACCTTTTGAATTTTCCCTCCTTTTTGCCATTTTTCAAATGTCGTGTAATCGGATTGGATTCTCGGAGACAAATGAAATGGCCCCGGAGAGCTTTAGTGAAGTATACTTCATTTTAATTCATTAGTTTCACTAATTTCGTGGTCCGCTTGACCAATTAATACATTACAATTAATTAAGGTTTTTTAGTTGAGATAGAAAAGTCAATGGCACGAGCGGGATTCGAAGTGGTAGAGCAGCGGCGTATCTAGCCGAAGACCGTGGGTTCGAATCCCGCTCGTGCCATTGACTTTTTTATCTCAACTAAAAAATCTTAATTGTAATTTATTTGTTATGTTATTACTATGATTTGTACATTTAAAAAATTTAAGATTCTTGTTTGGTTGTTGATTTTTATTTACTACAGTTGTGTCTAACACATTTGTATTAGTGTGGCATCGAGAACAACAAATCAAGTTCCAACATAAATATTCCGCGTTTTACGTTACATTAATAAACTAGTTCAGTGTATTTTTCTCTGTACTTTTATTTAGTTTTTGTTTCCTGGTTTAACCTGGCTTTAGCCTGGAAGTGAGGTAATACTAGGAAAGATCCATTCTATAATACATGCTGAGGGCATGTGAGGTCTTCCGAAAATCGTGTTTCACGTACAAATTCGATTGCGATTCGTTGCCCTTGTCATTTTCAATTCGAATTCGAAAAGTTTTCCTTTGTGGTTTGACCTCCCGTCTGCGAAACCCGAAATACAGTTGAATGAAAATCCTTGCTGGGGAAAAATGCGTATCAAGCTTTTCTTTGAGATTTAATAATCCGGTGGTGTGCCTAAACCAGAATGAAAAGGTAAATATGCAGCTTTCTCTCTGAACACAACTACGATTTGCTAATAAACAATAAATATTAGTGATCATACAGCCAACTTGTATGTTTGATATTAAACCAAACACTGCATTCACGATTTGAAAAGTATATAATAATTAACTAAAATTAATGTCAAATAAATCCTTTATTATCCAAGCTGACAATGAATAAAAATTTGGAAATATTTTAAAGTTCGCAAATATAGACAAACAAAACCACGAATTAGTGACATATACCCCATTAAAGCATAAAATGACTGCGTTGAGAGATAAAGGAGAGATTCTCGGTGGATCCCTCGTCATGGTTGTGTTGGAGTTTCTCACTAAAACGGTTGTCTTGTACCTGGACCTTACTATTGCGATCCGACCCGCTGTCCCTAAACGAATAATAAATAATATGGCAGCGTCAATGGACTGGATCGTCCAAGAAGTTCATCCGCAATAAGAGCACGATAGACAGATGGCCCCAAGGGAGTCAAAACCGCAGAACAAGGATCATCC